ACATAAACAATAAAATCCCTAAAACACTATGTCTATCACAAAAAAAAATTATTCTCAGAGATTTGAACAAAGGACAAAAACTATTCCAAAATATGTGACGAAGCAGGGTACATGGCACATACACGTAATCCAACCACTGGGAGGTGGTGGCCACACCTTTAATCCCGGCATGTGGGAGGCAAAGGCAGGTGAGTCTCTAAGTTCAAGACCATCCTGGTTTCACAGAGTGAATTTCAGGATAACCAGGACTACACAGGGAAACCCTGTCTCAAAAAATCAAAAACAAAAATAAATAAATAAATAAATAAATAAATAAATAAATAGCAATTTCAAGGCTGGGCTGGGTAACACACCAACCTGTAGAGCAGTCAGTCAGTCACACAGCAAGACCATGTCTTAAAACACTAATGGCTGAGAGGCAGCTTAGTGGTAGATCATTTGCCTAGCACGCTCCAGGACCACACTCAATCCCTAGCAGGGGAGAACGCCCAGAGAAAAAATGCAGCCTCATAAAAAAGAACGCCCAGAGAAAAAATGCAGCCTCATAAAGAAAAAGACAAAGCTCAAAAACAGAGAAAGCTGAGCTAGCAAGGAAACAATACACTATGTAAAATTTTGGTTCACATTCTGGTTCAGACTTTCTATTAGCTTCAGAAAATACCAACTGTCAATTGGATGCAATGGACCATGCCTCTAGTCCTGAACTACTCCACAGGCTAAAGCAAATTCACAGTGAGTCTGTCTGAGCAATACGCTCTCTCTCAGAATATAGTAAGTACAAGTAGAAGTTGTAAACCGAGAACAGTGGTACGTGTCTACTATCCAGCACCTGGGAGGGAGAATCAGGAAGACAGAGCATGGACTACACCAGACACAAAGAAGGAACAAAAAAAGCAATGAGGGCCAGTGATATGTCTCAGTAAGAAAAGGCAAGTTTTAACACAAGTTTAACACCTCAAACCCCCAAAAAGGTGGAAGGAGAGAACTGACTCCACAGAGTTGTCCTCTGACCTCCAGGTATGTCTCTGACCCTACGTCACACATATGCAATAGTAAATGAATAAATAGAATTTACGCTATGGAAACATGCTTTCTCCTTTTTAAATTCTTATGTGATTTAATCTTCCTATAACAGTATTTAGAAAGACAATAAAGACGTAAAGCCCCATAAGGTGCAGTCATACAGCCATACAGCCAATGTTTCACATACACACTGAAAGCTGGCTACAAACCCAACAGTTTTTCCTAGGAAACGGGATTATGAGCGGTTTCTTTTTCTCTGTATTGTCTGAATGTTTACACTAATCATGAACTTAGCCAAATAAAACAGAAGCAAAACCAGAAAATTCAAGCTTGAACAGGTACCATGCAGTTACATGTGACTCTCCAGCCTTTCAAAGGAACCAGATGCCACCTGCACCACCCAGCACTCCCCTACGACAGCTCCACAGGGACCTCAGGCATGCACAACCCTAAGTCAGGAAAATAAACACCATCTCCACTCAAGTGAAGAATGAGATTCAGAGAAAATTATTTCGGTAAGCATATCTCGTACATATTATACATATTATATGTGTGTGTATATGTATATATTAGAGTATATGCATATAAGCTATATATTATATATACTATACATCACAAACAGTATCCATTATGCCATTTCACTCATATGTATCATTATATCTTATTCTAATTTGTTCCTTTATATCCACCCCATGCTCTGGTTGGCTTTTTCCCTACACCCCTCCCCTCCTTAAGATATCTTCCTCTTCTTTTAGGGTCCCTTTTCTAATTTCATGACATATATATATATATCTAGAATGAGATAGCTAAAGAGAAAAGAATGAGATATTTGAGTGCTTTCCCCATCAAGCAAACAACTTATGGATGAAGGGGGGGGATTTAAAAGTGACAAAGGTGGAGCTGCAGAGACAGTCAGCAGTTAGGAGCACTGGCTGCGCTTCCAGAGGACTGGATTTTATTCCCAGAACCCACGGGGCAACTTACAACCATCTGTAACTCCAGTTCCAGGGGACCGAATGTCCTCTTCTGGCCTCTAGGGCATCAGGCATTCTAGTGGTGAATGACGAACATGCAGGCAAAACAGCCAGACACATACAAAAAAGTAACTTTTAAAAATCTTTCAAGTGGGCCAGGAGTTGGTGGCGCACGCCTTTAATCCCAGCACTCGGGAGCCAGAGGCAGGAGGATCTCTGTGAGTTCAAGGCCAGCCTGGTCTCCAGAGCGAGTGCCAGGATAGGGGCCAAAGCTACACAGAAACCTGTCTCAAAAAAAAAAAAATCTTTCAAATGACCAAGTTGAGGACTCAGAACACAGCTTAGTGGTAAAGAGCTTCTATGACAAACTCAAAGCACTGGGTTTGATCCTCCGCTAGGGGAAAATATGTCACAAAGTTCAAACTTGGAATAAAGAGAGGCAAGCTAAAAGTACTCACGTGATCAAAGAACTGTACCACTGCGAGCTTTTTGCTGCGCCTGGTGAAAACGCGCTGAACTTTGGCAATTTTGCTGAAGTGCTTCTCCAGGACAGCCCTGTCGTTGAGGTAGTCAGGAATGTTCTTGCACTGGATGGCGGTGGACTCTAAGAGAGACAAGCCCCCGAGACTGTCTGTGCTCTCACTTCTTTTACTCTGTCGTGCAGATGTTCCCCTGAGAGAATCTAGGGATTCAGAGAGCAGACACATAGGTTCATCGGGTACAACACATCCAAGCAAAAGGAGTCACTGCTGTGCGAAAGCAAACTAAATTCTCATGGGTGGAAGGCCAGCCCTAGGGCTCTATGTTAGGATCGCTAATATTTCAGTGGGGACTTAAATCAAGCTAACCCCAGGGAACACACAAGAGTTTGGCAGCAAAGTAAGCAAGCATCCTGTGTTGTGCTAGAACTTACCTTCTTTTTCATCTCTGCCTTCCGTCTCTTCTTCTTTATTCACAGCTGGAAGCCGGGAAGGTACCAGGGTAGACTGGCTTCCTCCGGGGATGGCTACGTGGTCACTTTCCCCAGATTCCACAAAGCCACTCTCCTTTTTAGATTCCTTGCTGCTCAGACGACTTACTTCTTTATTGCTTTTGAAGACATCCTGTATGGTCCGACCAAACAAAGTGCCACCGCGGGGTCTATTTAGGCGGACAGGTCGTTTATCGGGAGGATGGTCCCCCCGGGACAGGGGGTCCGAGTCTTCTGCTGCCTCATGGCAGTGTCTCCTTGGGGAGCGTTCCTGGTCCTCTTTCCTTTTTAGTCCTTTCATGGGGGTAGGAAGTGGTTCCACCAGAGAAATGGCTTCCTCACATCCTTGACGGATAACTGTTTTGTTGCCTGAGAAGGGCTCCCCCAAAGATGCAGATGAGGGCATGGGGAAAGTAGTAAAACTACTATTTGAACTTCCAAATACTGATTTAGGTCCCCTCTTCTCTTCCTCCACATTTTGGTTAGACAAAGCAGGGGTGAGGACAGATGTCGTATTACTATTAGCTGGTTTTGAAAAGACAAAATTTGAACTAGTCACTGAACTATTTGTCACCTGAGAAAAAGAAAAAGGGGTCAGGCTTCCAGACCCACTGCTAACGGGATGGGGAAATGTGAAAAATCCAGAAGCAATTTGGCTCTGGGTTTTCTCTGGCTCCGACTCGGCCCCCAGGATTGGTCTGAACACTGCATTTTCCATAGGTTTAAACTTGAATTCTGTTTTCCTAAAACCAGAGCTTGCTACTTCTCCAGTTTCTGGCCCAAAAGTAGAGCCACTTGGGAAAACCCCAACGCTAGAAGGTGATTTAAAACTAAATCCTGTATTTCCCGGCACAGATGAACTTGAAGGCCCGGAGGTGGCTGCAAAAGAAGGTGTGGATTCAAGAGTAGCAAACAGTCCAACACTCGAGGTCTGAGTGACTCCAAAAGTTGGCAATGAGGAAGAATGACTTACTACAGAGGGCGTTGCAAAGCTTGATACCTGTGAAAATCCAAGGCTCTTGCCCAGTGTGTTGTTTTGCCCAAAAAGGGGAGGCTGACCAAACCGAAATGATGACTTAGTCTGGTATGTTCCTGTGGTACTAGAAGATACTGCAAAAGCACCGGGCTGCTGCCCACTGAAGGGATTCACGGGGTTCATCTTCAATTATTTGAAGGCAATAAATACGGTCTGTACACAACTAGTCCCCTTCTTTAAACCGCCCGTTGCTTGGAGAAGCTCTCCTTCATCCTCAGAATAACCTGAAAATCAGAAAGTTCAGGACATCCCAGCATAGTTTGCCACAAGTCTTAAATCACGGGTCCTCTAAGGACAATTTAAAAGGTAAGCTCGCAATGGACCGACCACTCCCAGAACCCACAGGTTTTCCCCGTTTTGGACACAGGGTAAGAGAGTACAAATAGGTTACTGTGAAATGGAGGTTTAAAGGTTTGTTTTGTTTTTCACGACAAGGCCTCACTTAGCCCAGGCTTGCCTCAAACGTACTATCCACTCAAGCACAGCCTTACATTCCTTTACCTTGCCTTAGCCTTCCTACTGCTGGGATCACAGGCGTGCCCCACCAGCTAAAAATCTCAATGATAAGACGGAAGAAAAAAAAAGTCACTTACGCCGGAGTTGTGCGATCTCCAAGGCCAAAGAATTACAACGTAATACCGCTAAATTTGTCACTGTTTTTGATTTCCTACCATCTCATTTTCCTCCCAGGGAGTCGAACTTGAGATGCCTTGCCCTGGCCTGGAACTAAGTTTTGTTTCCTCCGCTGGCAACTCGTAGGAAACAGGCCGTAGGGTCGTCAGAGACCTTCGTGAGAAGATGGCGAAGCGAGGCCTTTAGCAACTCGACAGAAACGCAGTGAAGAGCGAAGGACGCCGCAGGGACTGTTCCGCCAGATCTCGCCTTGTCGCGAGCGCCAATGCTCATCCCCAGTCGACATCCGGCCGCCACCCAGCACACCGCACTGTATCACACAGGCCACCGCGGGCCGGCCCTTAGATGTGTGCGGCGGACATCAAATTCGTCGGACCGACTTCCGGGCCTCCTCATCCGGCTTCCGGTCTCTGGGGGTGTGCTGCTATTGATCTTCCGGCGGGCGATTTGCCAGGTTCCCGGCTTCCCACGAGTCCTGTTTCGGTAAGTGTGCAGCGGGTTCTCCTTGTGTGGCGTAGAAGCACCGTGTTCGTGCTCAGATCCACCCGCCCGAGTGTCCGAGAGAATCTGGACCCACAGAGACCCCATCTTTTCACCCACGCTCACCCTTACCTGGTCCTACACCATAGCAACCGCCCCAAACCACTTATTCTGCACACTGTGCCCGGTCTACCGTGTTTCAGTTTCCTATGGTGAATGTAAATTCCCTTAGAATTGACGATAAAGTCCGCCAAATAAACTTTTTGTTTGTTTGGTTTGTTGTTTGTTTGTTTATTCGTTGGTTTTTCCAGACAGGGTTTCTTTGTGTGGCCCTGGCTGTCCTGGAACTCACTCTGTAGACCAGGCTGGCCTTGAACTCACAGGAATAAAGTTGTTTTGTGAGTACGTGTGTGTTTTTACATAATGTGTCACTTTCTAGTACTGATGGGACTTTTTTTTCGAACTTTACAGGTTCCTTCCAACCACTTTTTTTTTTACCCCTTTTTTTTTTTTTTTTTTTTTTTTTTTTTTTAAGGCTGGATGTTCTTCCCAAAATGAGTTTGGTGATTAAAAATCTGCAGCGGGTGGTCCCCATCAGAAGAGTGCCACTTCGCAGGAAGATGGATATAGTCAGGGGTATTTTAGGAGTGAAGAATTTTGACCTGGGGATTATCTGTGTTGACAACAAGAGTATTCAGCACATTAATAGGATCTACAGGAAGAAAAACGTCCCGACCGATGTGCTTTCTTTCCCATTTCATGAGGTAAAAAGAATATATTCCTCACATGCAGCCTACCTTTCTTCCAGAATGGCTCCTATGGGTTATATTACAGATATGGTTATCTTTGATTTGGGGAGTTTTTGGAAATGCCTTTAATCCCATCTATTCAAGATGCAGAGGCAATCACATCTTCGTGAGTTCAAGGCCAGCCTTGGTCTACTTGGTTAGTTCAAGGCCAGACAGGGCCATATAGCAAGCCCCTAATCTGAACCAAGCAGTGATGGCCCATGCCTTTACTCCCAGCACTTAGGAGACAGAAGTAGGTAGATCTGTGAATTCAAGGCTAACCTGGTCTACAGAGTGAGTTCCAGGACAGCCAGGCTGAAACAGAGAAACCCTGCCTTGAAAAACCTAAAAATAAAACAAAACAAGAAAACCATGTGTTGATCAGGGTTCTCTAAAGTCACAGAATTTATGGAATGAATATATACAAGTGGATTTATTGGCATAACTTACAGGCTACAGTCAAACTAATACAACAGTGGCTAGCTGTAGATGGAAAGTCCAAAAATCTAGGAGTCGCCCACAAAACTAGGTGTCTCCGATAGTCTTTTGTATATGCTAGAATTTCGAAGAAGGCTCCGATGACTGAAGAAATGTGTGTGCTGACAAGGTGAGGCAAGCAGGCAAAGAAGAACAAAACCTTCCTTCCGTGTCCTTACGCAGGCTTAAAGCAGAAGGTGTGGCCCAGAGTAAAAGTGTGTCTTCCCACCTCGAGATCTGAATCATAATTGTGTATCTTTTTTTTTTCTTTATGTATGAAATGTTCTGCCTGCATGTATGCCTGCAGGCCGGAAGAGGGCACCAGATCTCATTTTGGATGGTTGTGAGCCATCATGTGGTTGCTAGGAATTGAACTCAGGACCTCTGGAAGAGCAGTCAGTGCTCTTAACCTCTGAGCCATCTCTCCAGCCCCTATAATTGTGTATCTTGTGCCCTCCATTTCTGGATTATAGTTCAATCCAGATACAGTCAAGTTGACAACCAAGAACAGTCATCACAAGCCCCTATCTCAGAAATAAGCAAATAAAAACAAGTGAAGGATTATGACCCATGCCCATTACGTATGTCTCTCCGTAAACATCACAATTCCTCTATTCAGGGACCACCCTTCCTCCCTCTGTGCTATCAGGAAATTCAGAGAAGGGCCTCTTCGGGTTTTTTGTTTGTTTGTTTGTTTGTTTGTTTGTTTGTTTTTTTCGAGACAGGGTTTCTCTGTGGCTTTGGAGGCTGTCCTGGAACTACAATCTTGTAGACCAGGTTGGTCTCGAACTCACAGAGATCCACCTGCCTCTGCCTCCCAAGTGCTGGGATTAAAGGCGTGTGCCACCACTGCCCGGCTGGGCCTCTTCAATTTTAAGTGTACTTCAGTAGTGAATGCTTGGCTAGAAAAATGAAAAGTAGAAACTGGTAAGCATTTTCAACAAATTACCTTGTGATAGCTACAAGTAACTACATTATGGAAACACCTTCACCCATTGTGGGCAGCATAAATTGGAAATCCTTTTTGAAAGCAAATTGATAATAAACAGTGCTTCGTAAGACTTAAATTGTGTATATGTCATAATCTACCAGTGTCAAACCCTACAGAAATAAATCCACAGAATGAAGAAGGTATAGTGTAATACACTATCTCTAAATGTTCACTTTATTGATATCCTTAACAGTAAAAAAAAAAAAAAAATAGAGGCAGGCAAGTGGGAAAGAATGAAATTGTGTCCATATGCCAACTTAACTGTATAGAAAGTGATTTATTTTGGTGGGAGTTAAAGAACTGCATGTACTCAGGGATATAAAACTCCATATACTCAATAACAAAAAACAACTAATTTAATGAGATCAAAGCATGTGAGGGCCATTGTGTGTGATAACTGTGCAGTCCACCCCCTGGGACTCTTTGGTACTTCAGCCTTCATCATGTGGTCAAGAGTCCTGTGTCCTCTGCTGGACAAGTGAGCCAAGTACCTGTTGTTTGAAAGGCCTCCAGCTTTGTTTCCTCATTTTCAGAATCTGAAAGCAGGGGACTTTCCCCGGCCAGCCTCGTCAGATGATTATAATTTGGGAGATGTTTTCCTAGGAGTAGAGTATATCTTCCAGCAGTGCAAAGAAAATGAAGATTACTATGACATCCTGACGGTAAGCTGGGCTGCAAAATTACATATTCTCGCTAACAGAACTTAAGCCATAGAGAAGGTTGAGAAGGGGACTCCAGTGTGCGTGCTAGTATCCACAGGTACCATTGTGTTACTCTTAGATTAGCAATTGTCAGCCCTGCTCCCTCCCACCTTCCCCTTTCTTGTATTCGGCCTCTCCTTTCTGCTTAACTTTTTTTTTTTTTTTTAAATAGATGTAGGCTTAGGATAGAGGGATGGCTCAGTAGTTAATAGGATGCACTGTTCTTCCAGAGGCCCTGAATTCTAGTCCCAGCACCCGTGGGGTGATGAAATATCAAATAAATAAATGAAAAGATGTCACTACATTGCCCAGGCTGGTCTTGACCTTTTTGGTTCAACCAGTACTTCCCCTCGGCCTTCTAGATCTGAGATTACAACCATGTGCCTTCTCTCCTGCTTATTTCTAATTGGATTTCCATTACTGCCCTGCCAGAGACAGTCAACTCTCTTTACCTGTTGCTCCGTCCTACTGTTGCTCCACACTAATTAAGCGACCTGTGTGAAATGTTCCATTTTATTTTATCTTATTTTTTTAAGATTTACTTATTATGTATATAGTGTTTCTGGCAGGCCAGAAGAGGGCACGGGATCTCATTGTAGATGATTGTAAGCCACCGTGTAGTTGCTGGGAATTGTAAGCCATCGTGTAGTTGCTGGGAATTGAACTCAGGACCTTTGGAAGAACAGCCAGTGCTCTTAACCTCTGAGCCATCTCTCCAGCCTGAAATGTTCCATTTTAGATAGGAGGGAACTGAGGTCGGAATGGAGATCAATGGTGAGCACTTGCCTAGACAGGAGGGAACTGAGGTGTTCTAGCATAAGACAACTCAGTCTCACAAGGGTAATCCAAGACCCCGAAGGGGCAGCTTTCTGGTAGATCATCCCATGAGTTGACTTGTCATTTACTCCAACAGGTGACAGCCACCCATGGACTCTGTCACCTTCTGGGCTTCACCCACAACTCCGAGGCTGAGTGGCAAAAGGTAGGAACAATACCTGTGCAAGGGGCTGCATGCTACCAACACATGTAACCCTAACCCCTGGGTTACTTGCCACGCACCCCATTGCAAGAGACAGGAACTATGACCTCCATCCATGCGGCCTAAAAAGATGTGGTGGTAGCCAAGCAGAAGCAGTAGTGATGTACACCTTTAATCCCAGCACTCAGGGATGGGGGGGTGGGGGCGCAGAGGCAGTCAGATCTCTGAGTTCATGGCCAGCTTGGTCTAGAAATCGAGTTCCAGGACAGCCAGGGCTACAAAGAGAAACCCTGTCTTGAAAAGCAAAAAAAAAAAAAAAAAGAGGTAATATTTTGAAGTAACTGACACCTCATGATACTTGTATAGTTCACTGCTGAAAGGCACCTGGACAGACAGGTTAAAAGTTATATTCCCTGAAGTGCTAGCAATTTTTCAAGATTTATTTATCATCTATATAGTGTTCTGTCTGCATGTCTGTCTGCATGCCAGAAGAGAGCACCAGATCTCATTATAGGTGGTTGTGAGCCACCATGTGATTGCTGGGAATTGAATTCAGGATCTCTGGAAGAACAGCCAGTGCTCTTAACCTCTGAGCCATCTCTCCAGCCCCCACTAGTTATTATTGACGTGGGGGTGGAGGTGGGGTTAAGAGATACTTAATGTTTAGAAGAACCCAACATTAAAAAAAAAAAAAATACTGGCGATTTGGCAGCAGGTAATGTGAAGTAGTGGTTCTTTTTCTCTAAAGGCCAACAGGTACCACATTTATAAAGCCCATTATGGTGTCTAATAGGCTTAGGTTATGTCTGTAAGGAAAGTCTATTGCTCAGAATGTACTTTTTTTTAAAAAATATTTTCTGTTTATGTGTGTGTACCTTTGTGAGTTTATGTGCACCATGTACGTGCAGGTACCTGCAGAGGCCAGAAGAGGGAGCTGATCTCCTGGAACTGGAGTTACAGTGGTTGTGAGCTGCCTGATGTGGATGCTGGGAGCCAAACTCAGGGAATCTATAAGAGCAGTAAGTGCTCTTAACTGCTAAGCTGTCTCTCCAGCTCCCATGAATGAACTTTTTTTTTCTTCAATTGAGAGTAGATCCCCTACCACCCAGCCCTTTCTATGCCCACTTTCTTGCTGCTCCACACTTTCCTGGTCCCCCTGGGTATCCAAGCTCCTCCCCCGTCATTTGAAGGCCCACTCTCTGATGTCCTTACTCCTATCTTCCCATGGCTCTTTCGGTCTCTGCTCAGGTGCTGCCCTTAGGCTTGTGCAGAGCTCAGATGGGGGCTTGTGCAGGAGGTGAAATCTGGGAGGAGGCTGACTGGGGACAAGTCTGACAAGGGTCCCAGGAGTGCCCTCTTACCCGCTTGTGCGCTGCCGTGTTTCAGATGTACAACCAGGAGAAGCTGGTGCTGGAGGAATTGAATCGATACACCGGAGCCAGGCTGCAGCCCCTGAGCAGGGGCCTCTACTGAAGCTTTGATGCCCTGAGATAGAGACAATGGTGGACAGAGCCCTGTCCCTCCACAGTGTTAGTGGATCTCTGCTGGTCATGCTGTCCTGGATGGCATCAACCTACACTAAAGCTCAATTCCGTGAGTGGAAATTGACTTCAGAAAGTATCAAAGAGGTGACTGGCTGGCTCTTGCTCTGCTTAGAAGGCTGTCTTGATTATTGTAAACAGTGGTTCTAGGCCATTCCTAAGAGAAGAAACATGGAACTTCTGTGTGCTTCTTTGGGCTTCTAACTGTAGAGTTTGGATGGACTGCTCTGTCTCCCTGAAGTGGAACCCACACCTCAGAACACTGAAGTCTGTTCTTCCTAGGAGGATGGGCACCTGCAGAGAAGCAGGCTCAAGAGGGCAAGGTTCCCACCCCACCCCCAGGACTCTATGACCGGAACCTTGCTGGCTCCACTCCTAAGAGCTGCCTTGTGCTCTTGCTTTTCTTAAGCCATTGGCTATAGACACCATAAGAACCCACTGACCTACAAATCCTGTCGCCTGGGGGCCATCTCCAATCCCCTTATGTTGTTGTCATTGTTTTAAATTAAATTAAATCTTGCTTATCTGATATATGTGTACATGTGTGGGACCACATAGTCCACAACATGCATGTGTGTGTTAGGTTAGAGGACAGCTTCGGGAAGATGGCTCTCTTCTCCTTCTCTGATGCGAGTCCCAGAGATTGAAGTCAGGTTGTCAGGCTTGACAGAAAGTTTTTACCCTCTGAGCCATCCCACTGACATCTTGTTGGCTCTTGTGGTCCTGCTGCTGGGGCTCCTCCTATTGGCTGTTAGAGGCACAATAATTGTGCTCAAGCCCTGGAGCACGGGATTCTGGTTGACTTGAAGTTCAACTCTACTGGACATGCTGAATGCCTATGCAAGTCTGGACCACTTGTCTTCCCGACATGTAGCCAATAACCTTGAGCCTACATAGGGTTTTCTGCCATATCTACACTCATACCTATGCCAGCCCATTTCCTCCTTCACAGTCATCTGATTGGCTCATCATCTTTGGACAATGACTGCTTCTGTGTTGCTTAGCTTTCTATTTCCCCTTTTCTTCTCTGTTTGGTATTTCTGGTTTGGTTTGGTGGGTGTTTTTTGGTTTGGTTTGGTTTGATTTTGCAGTGCCAGGGATGGAATCTGAGGCCTTGTCATTCTTAGCACGTGCTCCACCACACTCCCAGCCTGGTGCTCTGCTGACCTAAATCTGTGGTTTGGCCACAGCTGTACCCGAGCCCAGCCTGTGGGGGCAGGTTCTGTCTTGCTGCTCCAGGAGGCACTCTGTGTTACTTTGTGTTAGTTTGTGTTTATTCCAGGTTCAGTCCCCCACTTCTGTGAAGGATCTAAGATCCTGATGAGAGTTACATGAAACCCATGGACTGGTTGCTGGTGTGAGGTCTTTAATTGATGCTTTTAACAAAAACAGGATTCTCTGGAATCACACCATAAGGTGCACAGAAAGATGGTTCTGTAGGAAGTGGATGTTGCCACCCTGAAGCTCCCCTGGGAGTGTGTTGCACTGTCTTGATCATCCACACAGACATCACGTCAGTCACTCACTGTCTTCACTGTGTGGAAGGCAGGGAAGGTCCACACAGGGCTAACTGGCAGCTCTGAATCATCTTGCCTCTGACCTGTAGGATTCCAAGGATTCAAAAACAGGGACCAGCTTTTTTTGTGAGGAACATAACAAATGAAAGAACGTAACCTCAAGCAAACAAAAGCTTTCTATAATCCTTGAAAATAGCATCTGTGGAGGCAGGTGGAATGTAGCACTCCAGTAATCCCAACTCCTAGAGAGGCCGAGGCAGGAGAATTACAAGTTTGAGGCTAGCCTGAGCAACCCAGTGAAATGTCAGAGACAGGTGGAGCTCATTGCATTTGAGTTCAAGGTCATCCTGGTCTACATAGTATGTGTCCAGCCAGGGCTGCGTGGTAAGACTCTTTCTCAACAAACAAACAAACAAACAAAAGAAGAAAGGCACTGATTGTACATGCGTGAAACCTGAGCTGCAGGCAAGCTAAAATAGAACTGTAAGTTTGTTGTCAGTCTGGGCTCAAAATCCAAGCGACAACAAAACCAAGACCCAAAAGAAAACCAATTTTACCAAAACAACAAAAAAGACACCAGAAAGTCAAGGAAGCCTGCACACGTATATGAAAAGAAAACTGGCAGGCCCAGGGTACAGATGGGCCAGGAAAGCAGTCATGCACTCTACGAGCCAGGGGTGCGGTGTGGGCACTACACAGTGCAGTAGTGGAGGCCAGAGGAACAACCAGCACAAGTCCTTCCTGTCCCACTTCCTGTCACCCACCATGTCTGTCCTGAAGATAAAACTAAGTTACCAGATGTGACAGCAAGCACCTTTATCTGCTGAGAAATCTTGTTGGCCCTCTATATTTTAAAAAGAGATCACAGCCAGGCGGTAGTGGCACACACCTTTAATTCCAGTGCTTGGGAGGCAGAGGCGGAGGCCAGCCTGGTCTACAGAGTGAGTTCCAGAATACCCAGAGCTGTTACACAGAGAAACCCTGTCTCGAAAAACAAAACAAAATTACATCACACATTCTTCAGCTTGCTTCTTTCACATGAGAATAAGGTAGGTGATCATTCCAGGCCTTACAATCAGGTCTTCCCCAGTCACTATATCTGACTTTCTCTTGCTTTGTGTGTGGGCATGCGTAGCACATTAAGAACGTAACACAGGTCCTCACACATGTTCAACAGACTGTCTACCACTGAGCTATATCTCCAGCCTCAATTTGACTCTTATTCCAGGCTTCCATAGGAGTGTGTATGTAGCTGTAATGATTTATTCTGATCATTGTTTTTCTTTCAAGTCCTTGATGATAAAATGTTGGTGTTTCACCTGAGTGAGGCCTCGGTCTCCTAGCTTTCCCAGATGGCCCTGGAGAGTAATCAAGGCTGAAGACCATGATGCTTACTGAGATAGGTCAATGGTCTGACACACCTGGAAAGGCAGCATGGTTTCTAGTGCAGCCCTAGGGGGAAACCAAGGGTGTCAAATGCGGGGAAGGGGTGCCCCAGGACCTGGGCCGAGGTGAAGGACAGTCTATGGGACCAGTCCTGCTGAGCTGTCAGAAGATCTAAGACAGCTTTCCCAGAGGATGACATGGCTCCACGTGACCTGGCAACAGGGGCTGAGACCTGCAACTGACTTTTTTCTTTTTTTCTTTTTTTTTTTCCTGGTTCCTTCAAATCAGCCACAGTGCATTGGTGTGACCACAGGGTGCATGAGCTCTTTGGCCTACATTGAGGAGAGGTGACCAGGCCTGTTTTTCCCCTTACCTGCTGCAAGACACCAGCTTTCTCCCTCCAGACTTCTGTGCTAAGGGTAGCTGGGATGGGAAGTCGTTGGCTCAGTCAGGTGGCTCACGGTGGGTAAGAAGCTGGCTGCGTGTGGGAGGGCAGTAGCTGCGACCACTGGAGGCCACACAGAATATCCCGCAGGGGCGCCAGATGTGGAGGCAGCCTGCAGCTGGGTGGGGGGTGCATAGTGGTGGTGGTGGTGCACTAGGGGTGGCTTCTGCTTTTCGGCTCGCAGGACTCCACGGTGTGCCCATCGCTGGTCCTGGCAGAGTGCACAGCCAGGTCAGGGCTGCAGCATCCTTTCCCTATGCCTGGGCCCAGCTTGGTGGGAAGGGCAGCTGAACGTGATGGGAATACAGCCTGTGCTTAGAGTTCTCCGCGCCCCAGCTACTTTACCTGTTCCTCATGCAGAAGGACCGAGGAACATTGCCTTCGCCACATACCCACAAGCCAGAGAAACCCTTGCACAGGTACCCAGGAGCACCCTGCCCTCAGTCAGTAGCTAAACCTCAGCACCCAAACCTGCCTGGAGGGTGGCAGCAGGTGGCCCTGTGGGCCCGGGTGGCAGGACTTTGAGCATCATGTTCTGCATGAGGATCTGGTGCATCTGTGCGTTCTGCATCAGCATCATCTCCACCATGTCTAAAAGGAGATCAGGTCTTACTCAGATGCTGGCTGTCAACAGGGTAAGGTGCCTGGCTTATCCTTTGGCCTCCACTGGTGCAGTGCAGTGTGTGTACACCCCCACCCCCATGGCTAAATAAATGTAATTAAAAATAAAACATCTGGCTGGAGAGATGGCTCGGTGGCTCACATGGCCCAGGGACCTCCATTTGATCCCCAGCATCCATGTGACAGCTAACAACCATCTGTAATTCCAGTTCCAGGGGACCTGATGCCCTCTTCTAGCCTCTGAGAGTCGTGCATGGGCATGGTACCCTGATGCATGCAGGCAAAATACTTGTGCACAAAATAAAAATCCTTTTTTAAAATGACTTAGGAAGTGTCAGTTTTCCACACCCCAAAATGACAGTCTGGGCTCAGTTGAGGCTGGACTCTGACCTGGAGTGCTAGAATTCCTCAGAAACCTTGTGAAGTGGATCCTGTTTGCCTGGAAAAGCCATTTCTTATCTGCTCCTACAACCCCATCTCCAAACAGGGCATCTAGTTCTCTAATAATTCAAACTAGCCTCCACCAGATCAGAGCCCCACAGAGGCAGAAAATAAACAACTCACAAGTCTCAGGAAGTCTTTGAAACCTACCAGATACACAAAGTACCACCTTCCAGAGTTATATAAGCAGCAAGGACTGCTGGCGGATTCAGACCAGCTGAACTGCCTGGAAGAGACTCTTTGACCTATTGACTAGGGCAGAGCTCTGAGATTCCAGCTTTCACAAGTCATTACTCACCCTGGGACAGACTTTTGGTGATCCAGCTGCCTTTTAGTTATCCTTGATTCTGTAAGTAACCCCAATAAACTCATTGATTCACGAAGTTGGACTTTAGTGGTTACTGATACTTTTGTCTGTTAGTGGTTCTCTATCTTAGATGTTGCATCTCACCAGGTAAAGTGTCACATAGCACCCACTTTACAAAAATACTTTCCATGCTGGGCAGTGGTAACACACACCTTTAATCCCAGCAATTGGGAGGCAGAGGCAGGCAGATCTCTGTGAGTTCAAGGCTAGCCTGGTCTTCAAAGAGAGTTCCAGGACAGTCTCCAAAACCTACAGAGAAACCCTATCTCAAAAAACAAAAACAAAAACAAAAAAAAATTCCCTTTCAGTATATAATTTCACAAACCTACAGTAATAGCAATCTAGAACACATACACACCTTCCTTGATGCTTCCAGATCTTTGGGTGGGAAAGGCCTGGGGAGGAGAAATCTGTGCAATCAGTGGCTGCTGGGGCAGCTGCTGAATGATGGTGGCAGGAGGCTGGGGGACCTAAGAAAGGCCAGCTGATTAGCCATCTGAATATACAGTCTTCATAAGTATCCTCCATCCACCCATCCATGTGCACACTTAACTATCCATCTGTCTATCCATCCACACATCCCATCCGTCTGACTGTCCTCCTGCCTATCTGTGTACCCATCCATTCACCCATTCACCCAGCCCTCCATCTGTCATCCACTTGAAAAGAAATTTAAATGACTAACACTAAGTTAAATAAACGATTGAATAGAAAATCTTTTACACCTGGTTATCATTAGGACTTAGTTTTGTTTTCTTTTCTTTTTGAGACGAGGTCTCCTGTGTAGCTCTCACTGGCACAGAACTCACTATGTAGACCAGACTGGCCTTGAGCTTGTGGTGGTCCTTCTGCCTCTGACTCCAGAGTACAGGATATAAGTATATACTACCGCATCCAACATGTACATGACATTAAAAAAAAAAAAAAGATTTAGGTATTTACTATGAGTACAGTGTTCTGTGTACATGTCTTTCTTCAGGCCAGATGAGGGCACCAGATCTCATTATAGATGGTTGTGAGCCACCATGTGTTGCTGGGAATTGAACTTAGTACCTCTGGAAGAGCAGCCAGTGCTCTTAACCACTGAGCCATCTCTCCAGCCCCCATACATGACATTTCTAATGTTTCTCCTATCTTCTACCTTCAGGAAGTAGTTAATGCCTGTTTTAATTTAACAACTGATGTATTCAGTCTTCTTTATGCATTTTAACAGGAGTAGATTGGAATTTCATGGTGTAGGGAGTCTGGGGTAAACCTGCTTGATGAAAAATCGGGTGTCCACAAGTCTCTTCCAGTGGCTTGTCTATTGTAGCGTCATTACCAACTTTGCTGCTTACCACAGCTCTCCCATATATGGCAGGGTGTATGTAGACCTTGTGCACAGATAGCCTCTAGTTTCTCTTCTGAGTGAAGTAAATGTGCAGCGATTTCAAGCAAACACCAGAGACTTGTTTAATTCCCCCTTACAAGTCTCGAGTGAACTTGCCCCTTCTTTCCATTCTCAGAGTCAGTGACCTAGACCAGACTTGGGAGCTTTCTCCCCCAGAGATGTAGTGAATTAGGGTTCATGGGCCACATGGGCTAAGTTGTTAAAAATGAGAACAGCCACAGACAGATATCAACATGAGTGTTTTTTGTTTGTTTGTTTGTTTTGTTTTGTTTTGTTTTTTCTTTGGTCTTTTCGAGACAGGGTTTCTCTGTGGCTTTGGAGGCTGTACTGGAACTAGCTCTTGTAGACCAGGCTGGTCTTGAACTCACAGAGATCCGCCTGCCTCTGCCTCCCGAGTGCTGGGATTAAAGGCGTGCGCCACCACCGCCCGGCTCATCATGAGTTCTTATCAGTACTATTTCATGAAATCAAAATGCATCTTCTGTGTTACGAGGTATTTTTCCTATATTTCTCTGCAAACATGTAAGAGCATGAAACAAGAAAGGTTGTGTGCATGGTTTTAATCTCAGCATTTGGAAGGCAGGGGCAGGAGGCATGGTCTATGTAGTGGGGTCAGCCTGAGTGAGTTCCGGCCAGCCAGGAATACATAGTGAGATTGGCCCTGTCTTAATAGCAAACACAATGGTCCTGACAGCAGGCAGAAACACAGGCTGGACCATCTGGAAACTGGTCCAGACAGCTCACAGCAAAGGCGGTTCTGTGGATCCATTCCCTCTGCTAAGTGCTGCTGCCAGTTTTCCTGCCCATAGGGCAGATGTCGTCCAGGTTGCCGGCATGGTCAGAATGTGGTTTTCTCTTGTGCCTATTCTCCCATTTCTGCATTCCCTCCCCTCCCGCTGAATCCCAAAGGCCTCGTCTGGACTCTCCCAACTCCTCTGCTTAAGAACATTCTTTCTGAGCCATTGAGATGCTTAGCAGATAAAGGTATTCACCAAGGGGCTTGGGGACTTGGCTTTGATCCCCAGAACCCATGTGACAGTGGAAAGGCAGAACCATTCCACAGTATTGCTCTCTGACTTCCACATATGCTCTGTGATGCATGTGCCTCACATATGTGTCAAAAGCACATGCACACAG